CGGTTGAATAGAAATTAAAGACCTTGAATTTGATAATAAAGAGTCAATATAAAAACCATTTGGAATAACAGCTAAGTATAGGAAAATATCTATATTGTTATAAATATGTAAAAGTTAGAGAGATAACCTTTACTAGTGACAGGAACGAAGCAAGTGTAAAATATCATAATGAAGCTATAGCACAAGAGGATGACAAATAAAAAGGGAGGAATAGATACTGAAGTTATAAATCTTTTCTTTCTTCTCTGTATTCTTTCTATATCCTTTAACTGCAGTCGGAGCGCTCTATTTATAGAGCGGCTCCATACAAACAGGGTTTTACAGTTTGAAATTTACATCACATGACTTTGAAAATATGATCACCTTAATTTCCAAAGTCTACAACGCTTTGTGTGGGTATTGAAAAACTTATGTGGGCATTCATTAAACTGCCAACGGTTTCAACATTGACAATGTTTTCAATTACTAATGTTTTCAACACTCTCCCTTGGATGGCCACATATCAACATTAGTTGCCTCGTTAAAACCTTGCTTGGAAAAACCCAGTGGGGAAAAACCATAGCGAAGGAAAAAGAGTACAACTTTTACTGGATTGTTGATATAGTGTTAAATATGCTTATGTTGCCTTGTTAAAACCTTGATAGGAAAAACCCAGTGGGAAAAATCCTAATCAAAGGAAAAAGAGTACAACAAGCATGTATCATGGATGCTCCCCCTGATATATATATCCCCTGAGTCTGCATTCTCCAAATTCAGCTATTTGGTAAGTCGACGTAATCCGATACTTTGCACTAACTTCTAAAACGTGCATTTTGGTATAGATTTGGTGAACAAATCTGCCAGATTTTCAGTAGAATGGATTTGTCTGACTTCAATAACTTTAACCTTCTGAAGCTCATGTGCGCTGAAAAACTTTGGAGATATGTGTTTAGTCTTATCGCCCTTGATGAATCCTTCCTTCATTTGGGCAACACATGTTGCAGTATCTTCATGAATGACAGTTGGATTGTCTGTCTTCGAAGTTAGACCACATGAATTCCTAATATGATGGATCATTGATCTTAACCAAGAACATTCACGACTTGCTTCATGTAAAACAAGTATTTCTTAATGATTTGAAGATGGAAACTAGTGTTTGCTTTGTTGAGCGCCATGAGATAGTTGTATCTCCATTCTTGAACACATATCCAGTTTGTGAGCGGGCCTTATGCGAATCAAAGAGGAAACCAACATCTGCATATCTAACAAGGATAAGGTCATTTGTGGATTTCTCTTAGTAGAAGAAACCCATGTCTATTGTCCCACGAAGGTATAGGAATACATCTTTGACACCCTTCCAATGACGAATTGTTGGAGCAGAGCTATATCTTGCTAACAAGTTGACTGAAAAAGCTATATCTGGTCTGGTAGATTGCCTATTGCACTCAAATATGGTACTTCTGGATCAAGGACCAGTTCATCATCTTCTTTTAGACAGAATGAATCTTTCTTAATGTCTAGAGAACGAACGACCATTGGCGTGCTGAGTGGATAAGCCTTGTCCATGCCAAATCGCTTCAGGATTTTTTCAATATAAGTTGATTCGTGGACCAAAATTTTACTAGCACAATGCTCGATCTGCAGGTTAAGAAAATATTTTGTTTTCCCAAGGTCTTTCATTTCAAATTTGCTTTTCAGATATTCAACAATTTTATTGAGCTCTTTAGAGGTTCTAACTAGGTTCATATCATCGACAAATACTGTCACTATAGAAAATCCAGAGTTGGATTTCTTAATGAACATATAAGGGCAAATGACATTGTTGATATACCCTTCTTTGATCAAATACTCACTGAGACGATTATACCACATTCGTCCAGATTGTTTCAGCCATACAATGATATCCTTAATTTGATCGAGAGCATACCTCGTGATTTGTTAGTTGTTTCAGGCGACTTAAGTCCTTCTGGGACTTTCATATAAATCTCAGTATCCAATTCTCCATATAGATATACGATGATGACATCCATAAGTCGCATGTCACGTTTTTTTGAAACCACTGAACTTATTAAGTAATGGAACGTAATTACGTCCATTATAGGAGAGTATGTCTCCCCATAATCAATTCCAGGTCTTTGTGAAAAACCTTGTGCAACGAGTCGTGCTTTATATCTTGCAATCTCGTTTTTCTCATTACGTTTCCTTGTGAATACCCATTTGTAACCCATGGGGTTTACACCAGGCGGGGTTTGGACTAGTGGTCCAAAAACATTTCGCATTTCTAAGAAATTTAATTCTGCCTAGATTGCATCTTTCCACTTAAGCCAATCTTGTCTCTGTTTACATTCATCAACAAAGCGGGGCTCAATATCATCACTTAATATGATTTTAGTGGTTATTACGAATGCGAACATACCGTCGATGATTATTTCATTCTGATCCTACAATTCATTAGTTCATGCATAAGTTATGGAGATTTCTTTGCTCTCATGTACTGCTGTTTCTTCAGGGGCATGTGTCTCATCAAGGACATTTTCTTTTTTTGGAAGTCCAGAATCATGAATTGTAGATTTGTCATTCATTCACTCTTCCTGAATGATTTCATTTGGATTCAGCTGTGTCATTGTCTTTCTCTTTGGAGGGGCTGAATCTTTTGAACCAGCTGGGGGTCTACCACGCTTCAGGCGTGCACCAGATCAATAATTCGCTGCCACTTTATTTTGTCCAACATGGACATCAATCCTTGCATGTGCATTTGCAATTGGTATATGTGATTTTGTCACTTTCATAGCATCAATAAATGCATCTGGCATTTGATTGGCAATGCTTTAAAGATGAACAATCTTTTTCACTTCATTTTCACATTGAGTGCTACGTGGATCAAAATGAGACAAGGTGGGAACAACCTATGTCAGCATTTTTCGTTCTTCTGGAACGGTCTTTTCTCCCTCTAACAACGGGAAGGCTGTCTCATCAAAGTGACAATCAGCAAAACGAGCTGTAAACATATCACCAGTCAAGGGTTCCAAATATCTAATGATAGATGGTGAATCAAAACCCACATAAATTCTCAGTTTACGCTGAGGTCTCATTTTAGTGCGTTAAGGAGGTGTATTAGGCACATAAAAAGCACAACCAAAAAGTCGTAAATGTGAAATGTTTGGCTAATGTCTAAACACGAGTTGTATTAAGGAGTATTGGTGGTTGGCTATAAGTCTCAATCGAACCAATAATGCAACATGTAAGATGGCATGTCCCCATGCAGAAACTGGCAATTTTGTTTTCATGAGCAGAGTGCGAGCTATTAACCGAAGCCGCTTGATCAATGCTTCTGCTAGACCATTTTAGTATGAATATGAGGAACAAGATGTTCAACATCAATGCCCAATGTCATGTAGTAATCATCAAAGGTTTGAGATGTAAATTCACAAGCATTATCAAGTCGGATTGACTTAATGGGGTAATATGGGAAATGTGCTCGTAATTTAATTATCTGAGCAAGAAGTCTCGCAAAAGCTACATTTTGAGTAGACAAGAGACGAACATGTGACAATTTAGTAGATGCATCAACCAAAATGATAAAATATCGAAATGGTCCAAAAAATGGTTGAATAGGTCCACAAATATCCCTTTGAATTCTTTGCAAAAATGATGGGGATTCAACATCAACCTTTAGTTATGATGATCAAATTACCAACTTTCCTTGAGAACAAGCCTTGCAAGGGTTATCATTTGAGATAGCAATGTGTCTGCTCAATAATGGATGTCCATTAGAGTTGGTAATGATTCTATGCATCATGGTAGATCCTGGATGACCTAGACAGTCATGCCAAAGCATGTAAACTTTTGAATCAATGAACTTCTGGTTCATGATAGTATGTGATTCAACTGTCTTTATGTATGTATAATACAATCCACTCGACAAACCATGCAACTTTTCCAATATACGCTTCTGGGTATCATTGGAGGTAATGCATAGATACTCCACATTTTCTGCACTTTACGTTTTAATGTGGTATCCATTTAAATGTATGTCTTTGAAACTCAACAAATTTCAAGTAGATCGAGTAGCGTACAATGTATTATGTATGGACAATATTGTTCCATTTGGTAACATAATTTAGGCTTTCCATGAGCCTTTAATTGCATCTGAAGGTCCTGATATTGTTGTTACCCTTACTTTTGTAAGCATCAATCTTGAGAAATACTTTCGATCTCGAAGTATTGTATGCGTAGTTGCGCAATCTGCAAGACAAATATCTTCGCCATTTCTCATGTTTTTAGAATGACCATAGTTTTTATCCATGCTCTCTGAGTAAGGGAATCAGAGTTTATAACAGGAAATTTACATGCCACTTTTACTGAATCTGAAATGCTAGTTTTAAACTACAAGTTCAGCATAATAAAAGTACATCAAACATAAATGATTCAGACGAACCGATACATTGCATTCCCCCTTTTCACAATGAAGTTGGAAACATTTAGGTGAGTTGTGTTCAACTGCCTTGATAAGTCGCACATTGGATTAGGTATATCCATCGGTTTAGTCTAGTCGAGAAAATTAGTCTCGACACCTTTCTCCTTGAAGAAGGCTTGATATAAATCCACAAGATGTTTTGGGGTACGACAAGTACGCACCCAATGCCCATTGACACCACACCTATGGCAGGCTCCTTTAGAGTTCCTGTGAGCATTGTTCATGTGAGCTTTGCCTTTGTGGCGATTCACATTTTTAAAACTCTGGCCTGAATTATGCCTTGGAACCTGGTTATGAAACTGACCACCATGGTTCTTGCCTTTCTTGTTCCACCAACCTCACTTGTGGCCACGTCCTTGTTTATGATTATCGCCACCAGAGGATGTGGCGTTCATTTTGAGGGAAGCAACATTCACTTCTGGGAATGGTGCATATCCAGTAGGTCGTGACTGCTGATTTTTCATCAGGAGCTCATTGTTTTTTTAGCTACCAAGAGCACAGATATCAACTGGTTGTATTCAGTGAAGCCTCGCGCTCTATACTGCTACTGCAGGAGCACATTAGAGGCATGAAATGTGCTGAAAGTCTTGTCCAACAAATCTTTCTCAGTAATAGTACCCCCACATAGCTTCATCTGAGATGTAATTCTGAATAGTGCAGAATTGTACTCTGCCACTGACTTGAAATCCTGGATCCTTAGGTGAGTCCATTCATAACGAGCTATTGGAAGAATCACCGTTGTCTGGTGATTGTATCTGTTTCTCAATGTCTTCCAAAGGGCTAACGGATCTTCAACCATTTAGTACTCGCTCTTTAGTCCCTTATCAAGAATAAAGATCATGGCTTTCGCTCGATCTTGAGATGATGAGTTGTTCTCTTCCCTAATGGTATCTCCAAGATTCCTTGCTTCCAAATGGATCTTAGTATCCAGTACCCAGGTAAGGTAAATCTTCCCAGTAACGTCAAGGGCAGTAAAATCAAGCTTTGTCAAGTTCGCCATTTTCTTTTTTAAAAGAAAATGAGATGTGTAAGAAATTGCAATTATATGTATTCTTTAAGGAATATAGTGTTAGAACTTCTGGCCAAAATGAGAAGCATTTGAAAGTTCAGGCTTGAGATTTTTAAGATGAATGAGGAGAACGATTGTACCGCACCATTCTCATTATAATATAACATAACCGATTATTCCGCACCACTGCAGTAGCAGGAAAAATTTAAATACGCATAGCAGGGTGGGCGATTATACCGCACCACCTAAAATTGCAATGAAATTAAACAGCAGGCAAATTTAAATATGCAGGGTAGGGTAGACGATTATACCACACCACTTAAGTTGCAGTAAAATTAGATTTGCAGTTCAAGATAGGCGGTGATACCACACCATCTTGGATCGCAGTAAGATTAAATTTGTAGTTCAAGATGGGCGATTGTACCGCACCATCTTGGATTACAGTAAAATCAACATAAATAAATATTGGGTTAGTAATCATGATCTGCACCAAACAAGAAATCAAAGATATATGTAACTGTTAGGTTGAGGACTAGAAGTAGGCATGGAGCAAACAGTTCTTCCCGAGGGTATATCGCGCAGTTGAGGTAGAGGAAGAAGATGAACAGTAAAAACCTTAGAGGAAACATTTTTTCCTTTCTTTCGTTCGGTGAAGAGAAATGAGAAATGGTTAGGTTTTAGAGACTCATGCTGATAACGTGTTATAAATATGTAAAAGCTAAAGAGATAACCTTTACTAGTGACAGGAACGAAGTAGGTGTAAAATATCACACTGAACCTATAGCACAAGAGGATGACAAATAAAAGAGGGAGGAATAGATATTGAAGTTATTAATCTTTTCTTTCTTCTCTGTATTCTTTCTATATCCTTTAACTGCAGTCGGAGTGCTCTATTTATAGAGCGGATCCATACAAACAGGTTCTTACAATTTGAAATTTACATCACATGACTTTGAAAATATGATCACCTTTATTTCCAAATCTACATCGCTTTGTGTGGGTATTGAAAAACTTATGTGGGCATTCATTAAACTGCCAATGGTTTCAACATTACCAATGCTTTCAACTGCTAATGTTTTCAACTGTTAATGTTTTCAACATATATCAATTATATGATATTAAACACTTGTATTTTGAAATACCCTTAAAATTTTCAACAGGTTCCATGTAGAGAAAATCTAATTATTCTCTATTTATCTGAGAAAGGCTGTGATATTTGTGCTTCAGTCGAAATGAATAAACTTAAACAAATATTTTAATTAGGGATTGAATATATTAATTTATTATGGATTGTCTCGTGGGGTTTCTCCTCCCCCAGAGTTTCGGATGATCACTGGTTCTCTTTCTTTGCAGAGAGGTTGGCAAGAATAAAATGCAAAAAATAATGTTTTCATTCTATCTTGACATGCTCAAACAATGAAACAACCATTACCATAAAACAGAAACCCAACCTGTAGCAAAATAACTTTGTATGCTAAGGAACATAAAACATGAGTTGAGAAATATAGCCAATCGAAGCTTGGCACCACATTCTGAAGGTAAGTTATGAAATATCTCCGCGTGGGTTTTCAATTTACACATCTAACACACGAATCAATCTCCGTAAATGGGCTTCAAAGACCCTTCCTATATTTTTTTGTAAACTGTGCCTAGTTCAAAAAATTATTCTTGAAAAACCATAAAACTAAGAGTTGAAAAAGAATGCAAGAAGCAACAAAACGAAAAAGGAAAACTGATCCTAATCAAAGAAACCCTTTTTCCCAAACCATTAGATGTAGGAGGAAGGGAGAAGCAAACTTCCAATTATTCATCTCTAAATACTGATGAAATATGGGCAGTTATTTGTGGCTGCAAATTTCCGTCGTCTTTTATTTTGACGAAAATACACCTGCAAAATAATAACACGTAAGATTAAGGCCAAAAGCCTTATGCGTCCATGATGAATGGGAGGGCTTTAGTCGAAGAATCTCTGATGCCAAAGTTAGAATTCTGAAAATAATGTGTTTATGAGTTTGTAGGTAGTAAATGACTTAACTTTTTAATGGGAGAAAAAAGACTATTTGTAGAGGAGTGGCCGGCCATATGTGGTGGAATTGTGTGAATATTGCAAGATATTATGTGAAATAATATCTTGCAATTAATATGACAATTAATCCTAAATGTGTATTCAATTAGAATTCTGAAAGAGTTTCAGGGAATTAATAATTTCAGGGGTATTCAATTAGGATTTTAAATGATTCTCTGAAATTCTAGGTGTATTCAATTAGAATTTTAAAATAGTTTATTAAAATCCTTAGAAATCCAGGTGTATTCAATTAAGATTTTAAAGAAGTTTATAACATTCCAGGTGTATTCAATTAGAAATTGATTTTAAAGAATTTGAGAAAGTTGAAGAATTAGAGGGAATTGGAGAGATTTCGTAGTGTATTTTAAGTATCCACAAATCTCACCTCTTCCCATGAGATTTCGAGGGAATTGAATCAAAATTTTATATGGAATCTACAAATCAATTAAACTCCATAAAAATCCATGGATTTATAAATCCATTAAAATCCCTCACATTCTCAATTGAATACACCCCCTAAATAGAAAAATTGGGAGTTACCTTTTGAATAAGGATTTGATGAGGAGTGATGAGAAGGATTTGATTAAATACTATTTTGATCACCTTTATCTCTTTTTTGATTTCCGTTATTGTCAGTTGCATGCAAATGGAAATCCTGATGTGCCTTGAGGGCAATTTTGTCATTTTCATTCAAAAGTTCCCGTGTCACTTCCATAATTTTCTTGATTATTTTTTGCTCCACATTATTATTGAACTTTCCACTGAAAATCAGATCAAATCGTGTGCGTTATTTAGAGAAAACTGCTAACGGTTGGACCCTATTTTCTCGGTCATTTTTAGGGATCATCACGTAGGCGTTCTCTTTTCATTTTGTTTTTACTTTTAAAACATTTTTATTATTTTTTTATTTATTTTCCAACTTTTCCGTTTGAGCTATTTTTATTATTTATTATTTTTCTTTTTCTTTTTGTATATATATTTTTTATTTGTTTCTCGCACTATTTAAATGTTTTTGTTTGTTTTTTTTCAATACAGTTTTTTTGTGCAGTGATGCTTTTTCACCTGTCTATCCTCTATTTTGAAGTTTTTGAGTTTTGATTGTGAAGGAAATAAAGGGACATTTTCGACATTTTGGAAAGCTTCACTGTTTTGGGCTCTTACTTTATATAGATAGATAGATAGATAAACATATCATATTATACTACACATAATAACTATTATTGAAACTTATGTGATTTACTTGTATTCTCGAAATAACCGCATTCTTTTAGAGAGAACGGAGTGAAAAAATTGAGTGAAAATTAGGTTTTTAAACTATTTTTTTTCAAAAAAAATCAATCCTTGAATTATAAAAATCTACCAATTACATCCCTAATATTAGAATTGAAGCTACTATATTTTTTGTCAACTTAAGTCACGCTATTTGCATGTGATACACATTGAAGGGTAAATTGGTAATTTTTCATAACGAAATAGTGTATGAAGTTAACTTTGGAGGGTAAATTAGACGTTAGATTCACAACCGATATAAAATGTTAAGGGCTTCTAGGTGAGAAAATGATGGTATTACACTATAATGTATGTCAAGTGATTTAAGTTAACAAAAAATTGGATAAAATAATTTTGAATATAATAGTAGGGATGAAATTAGCAATCTTTAATGAATTTAGAGACTTATTTTATCGAAAAATAATTAAGGGACCTAATTTTCACTGAAGTGGTAATTCAAAGACTAAATCAATATTTTACCCTAAAAAAAATTAGAAAATGAGGTTGATGAAACCCGTGGGTTCTTGAAACTTGTCATTTACTTTAAAGATGTTGATTCATAATAAATAATAAAATTATAAAATTGAATTAGTAAATAATAAAATATTGTGATCTAACAAGAGGATGAGAAAATTGTAGCAATTGTCTCTCAACTATAACCCAATTAGAGCCACTGTTCTAAAAATCCCCGCCTAGCGCCGCCTAGGCCCCACCTAGGCGCTAGGCCCCAGCCCACCGCCCCGATTAATGCCTAGGCCCTAACCCACCGCCTAGACTGCCTAGGCACCCGCCTAACCCGCCTAGGCACCCGCCTAGACCCGCCTAGGTTGCAACTCACTTAGACAAAAAATACATAACTTTCATTTTGTATTTTGTTTTTTTCCAATAAATTGTAAGAGACTTGTTGCATACTTGAATGAACAAACATTATATCCTTATTTCACATGTTTTCATTATGTTCCAATACTTCATGATATATATGCATTCTATTTTGTAGTTTATGATGAAATTATATATATTTCAAGTAGAAGCAGACACTTATTTACATGAAATATGATAGATTTACTTAAATCCGCCTAGTCCGCCTAGGCCCCGCCTAGGCGCCTAGGCGCTAGGCCCCAGCCCGCCGCCCGACTAGCGCCTAGCGACTTTTAGAACCTTGATTAGAGCAATGGTCCCTCAACTAAAAATTCATGACAATTGGTCTCTTAATTCATCAAAATGTGTACCTATGGTCCTTTTCGTCAACTCCGTTAAAACTTCCGTCAAAATGAGTCGCACGCCAAGCACGTGAGGTCATAATCAAGGAGAAAATATGGGAAACTAGCTGGAAATATTGTACAAATGGTCCCTTAACTTTAATCCAATTGGAGAAATAGTCCCTCAACTTTAACCCAATTAGAGCATAAGTTCCTCAACTTTAACTTAATTGTAGTAATAATTAAACTTTCAACATGACTCGTTTTAATGAAATTTCTGATGGATTGATGAAAATGACCATAACTGCACATATTGAGAATTTAAGGGACTATTGGTCATGAATTTATAGTTGAGTAATCGTTACTTTAATGAACCTTGACTATAATTTCCTCTAAAGGGATTGATTTGACTAACGATAAAAAATAATAATTTTAGGGAAAAAACAACTTGTTTTTTT